GGAGGGAGTCTCGGCAAGGGTGGGGGCGGGGCGGCGGGACGGGCGGCCGGAGATGGGAACAAGAGGGAGGGGGAGCGGAAGAGAGAGAGAGAGAAAAGGGAAGAGAGAGAGAAAGCTAAGAAGAAGGGGCGGGGGCGGGCCGGCGTGAGCTTGCCGTTGGGAGCGGGGCGGTAGGACGGGCGGCCGGAGATGGGAACAAGAGGGAGGGGGAGCGGAAGAGAGAGAGAGAGAGAAAGCTGAGAAGAGAGAGAAGAGGATAGAGAGAATGGAATAGAGAGAGAGAATGGAGGGCGGCAGGTGGCGGCGGCGACGGTGAGGAGAAGAAAAGGCAGAGATTGTTTAGAGAGAGAGTGAGTGAAATCGGGGGAAAATGAAGAGGAATAAGTTAGGGTATAATATATCAGACTTATTTACGACGACATTGTCGTCGCAAATAAATTTAAAATGCCGTCGCAAATACCCCACATCTGAAATTATTTGCGACGACATTGTCGTTGCAAATAAATTAAAATGCCGTCGCAAATACCCAACATCTGAAATTATTTGCGACGATAATATGTCGTCACAAATAATCATTCCACCGGTCAAGCTTATTTGCGACGACAAGGAGAACACATCGTCACAAATAGAGTGGTATTATTTGCGACGACATGTGTCGTCGCAAATAAAAAGATATTTACAACGACAAGTCGTCGCAAAAAATGGATTCCCTTTGGCGGCAAAAATCCGCGCCATTGGAAATTGCGCGCCTAAACTATTTGTGACGACATTGAACTTATTAGCGACGACATGCTTAATTTATTTAACGGGAGTCAATTGCGACGACATGTTGTCACAAATAATGAAATATTTGTGACGATAAATATCGTCGCAAATAACCTTTACTATTTTAGTATAAGTGGATCATGTCAATATCTCCAGTCAATATGAGATTCTAATACCACTCAGATGTATAATGCTAGCCAAGCTCGTTTGTCAATTTTTAGTACTTCCTAAGGATAAGATAAGAATAACAGAAGATGTTTGTTTTGTTGGGCATTTCTCGGATCGTGAACCTGGATCACTATAGAGGCTAGATTCAACTGATTTTTGATTGAACTTAACCGATTCATGGAAGTTTTCGTTCATGAACTTCGCCAGGATATTGGGTCTGGTTCAAGATGTCAGATGAGTACACTTACATTTGATAAGATTGGATTTAGAACTTGCGGATTATTAGGTACATTTTTTACCGCTTCAACTTGCAGTTAATTGTGGTGACGAGTGTTCTAGATCAGATCGGATTAGTTAGTACTATAAAAACAAGCCATGGAATCGACCTTCACGGTTCAAGAAAAAAGTACCCCTTTATAAGGTTGTCCCACACCCCGTTAATGTCTCACTCACCAGAGCCAAAAGTTGGAATTTTTTATTCAAATTAAGTACATGATTTAAAGACTCCTAAAAAGCAAGAACTGAATGCGTTAAGGAGACAAACTTGTCTGTGTACTCTATACCGAATATTAAAGAAGAATAAAAAATTAAAATTCAGGTAGAAAATGAGATTAATACCTATAAAGTAGACAATGACAACTATGTTTTCAAGAAAAAAAAAAAAAGACAACTATTTTAAGAATTATATTAAATTTTCCCCTCCTGAAAAGAAAGAACTAGCTATATTAAATTAGTTAATTAAAATGGTAGCCAATAATTGCTAATTACTTAACTCGTTGTAATTCCAACGTTATTATAAGGTCCAAAGAAAGAAAAGGGACGAATCGCCCCGTAAATATGTATGATGATAATGTGATAATATTGGACGCATATATATTTGAGTTTCATATTATTTGTTTGTAATTACGGTTCCCAACTTGCACTCCTAATTATAAAGAGAAAGTACCTATCCTTTGCCCCAAAAAAAGTAGTGCGTTTGATATCTTTTCTTTCATTGACATAAAGATAAATGGGTGCAACGCACGAGAAGGGTTCATGATCATAGACACAAAATAAAAAATAAATAAATAAATAAAAAGAAGAAAAAGATTCCAAATGGATGATATATATATTTTAATATACATTCTCTACCCTTAGTGGATGCAGGTACCTATTTTAGCTACAGAGATCAGCCTTTAATTTGATTTCGTCTTTGATCTAGTATATATAGCATTATATATCACTCGACGTTATATATAGCTCATCATTTTTTTTTTCTTTAGTACCAGGGAAAATGAAAGAGCAATAAGAACCAATTATTACGCAACAACATCATGTCCTGTCTGTAAGGCGGTGAAACGAAAAGAAATAAATAATAAATATTGAATCAGATGTCTCTGCAGATGATGTTCACATGGTAATGACATGTCTTGTACATATCTTAAAATCTACATTTATTTGTTTTTTTGACAGAAGTAATCTGGACCGTCAAATGGGATCAACCACAGCAAGAATATGCGAGAATTGAACCACAAAAGATCTTGTGTTCATTAGTTTGCCTTCCCTGTCTTTCCAACAACCACAGATAAGAGCGTATCAGATAAATGTTTGTAAGAATGTTCATTACCCTTTTACCATTACATGTTCATAAAATTACAATTTACCCGGGAAAACGACAGCAATACGAAAATTTGTCCAAATAGATCATACCTAGTATTTAATTCCCCTCCTCGTGTTGTTTTCTTCATAAATAATAATCAATAAAATAAAAAACTTCAAGAGCCTTCTTTTCCTCACCACCTTTTTACACTCCACAGCATTGAGAGGTAGAGAGAGAGAGAGAGAGAGAGAGAGAGAGAATGGGAGTGTCTTATTGTGTAGAGGAGAACAAGGCTTGTGTTGGGTGGGTTGAGAAATACTTTCAAGACTGTCTTTGCAATCTGAAAGATGAATTCTCATTTGCTTTTGGGCTCATAAGTTTGGTGTGTTGGGGTGTGGCGGAGATCCCACAGATCATAACCAACTTCCGCACAAAGTCAAGCCATGGTGTCTCCCTTGCTTTTCTCCTCACTTGGGTTGCCGGGTTCGTATTTTTCTTTCTTTTTCTTTTTCCTTTCTTTTGGTCACTTTTCTTTTCTTGTTGTTTTTTTTTTTCCGAATAAATCTAAATAAGTTTCTAACAATATGTTATCTGTTTTGTTCACTTTCTTTTCTGGGTTTTATATGTTGATTGCAGAGATGTGTTTAATCTTGTGGGTTGTCTTCTTGAACCGGCAACGGTGAGTATTGCAATTTTCGTGGTCCAGAAAATGACCAGAGATTATTGGTTCGCTCTGGTCAGACCACCATGTGCATTTTTTTTGTCAGAAATCTAATTTCTGTATTATTTATATATCAGCATATATATAGACACACACATATGTCAAGAAATATTAATATGTATGTTATGTTTTTGGATGCAGTTGCCAACCCAGTACTATACAGCTCTGGTAATTGCACTTTCTGTCTTGTAATCTAAATTTCTTTTTTCTTTTTTTTTTTTTTTTTTTTTTTTGGTCGCATTTTAGCAAATTGTTAGTTCTTTTTATAGACACTATGAATATATATGTTGGAAAGTTGTAATTAAGTCATGGATCCATTAATTAATGTTATCTTGGACCGAGTAATTTATTCGCAGCCCAATGGGGCCTGCCATGATATTTGTTGTTGGGGCAACTTTCCTATGATAAGTTCTTGACTTTTTCAAGAATCCAAAAATTTCAACCCCCCCTTATGAATAAATAAGATCTCAGTACTGTACTTATTAGTACAATTAATTATGTTTTCTTTTTCGCTGTCGATAATTATTTTGCAGCTTTACACAACAAGTACCGTGGTGTTAGTGCTTCAGAGTATATACTATGACCACATCTATAGATGGTGTAAACGCCGGAAGACTACCACCAAGCAATCAGTATGGCAATTTAGAGCTTTTTTATTTTTTTAAGAAAAAAGAAAAATAATACATGATGAAAACACTATATATCATTAAAAAAAAGGCTAAAATAAAGTATTCAATACTACAATAATAATCCATAAATTATAAATTACTTTTCATCACGTGTATATGAATACTTTAATTTTTTTGAACTTTTTGGCTTTCAATTATTAGTACTAATGTCGTATTTGTAATTTTGCTACCAAATCTGATCAGACTGAGGAAGATCAAAGAAAACCGTTGAACAATTCCAAGCCAGCTGATGAATCAGGCATTCCAATACCAAGGCCTTCGACCAAAGCCAGTAGTGGTACTCCCCGGAGGGAGTTCTACTATACGTATGTATTAATAATTAATTTCTTTTAATTATTTAAAACCATGAAATTAACTTTTACTTTTAACTCTTTTTAATTTCTTATTGGTTGTTGGCTATATATGGGTGATGAAACTAAAGTTAATTCTAGCCGTTGGTCTGTACAGGTCAGCAAGGTCACTGGCTGGTAGTGGAACTCCACCCTTTCGGACGTATCTTAGGGCGGCTAGAAGTGGTCCTTCAGCAATGGCCATTGAAAGTGACTCGTCTTCGGACGATGAGGCAACTGTTCCACTTCGCTCCAACAAATCTACCACCCAACCTCGCCCAATCCCAAAATCGGTATGACGTGCATATATATATATATATATATATATAATGGACCCACATATACACACATACATATACATATATATATATTGTTTGTTTAATCTAGTTAGAGAATTATCATTAATAAACTCAGAATTTGGATGTAAACCTATTGGTTAAATATCAATTGCTCACCTGTAACAGCGTGTAGCTTTATTTCTTTGCGTTAAGCTTAAAAGTAAAGTCAATAACATCCTTTTTGGAAAATTCTATGGTAAGTCGCAATTTCTAACCATTAAAGTCTCGTTTATTTCACCAATTCGAGTTTTCAATTACAGTTAAAAGCTCTCATAAAAAGTCACATCTAATTTTTTTGCTACAGTTAAAAATTCTCACATAAAATCACATATCAGTTTAAATTAAAAACTCGAATCGACGAATTGAACGAGACCTAAATCTTTATTTATAAATTCGGTTAAATTGTCATGCTATTTTTATGACGATTTAGTATGATATCCTACATATAAGATGATTTTTCATATCCTAGTAAAAAATCATCATCTTTTTTGAACAAAATAAAGGAAAACCCACTAATGTACACCGGTCTACGCCACCACTATCATAATCATCTATTCATCTTCGTTGGCGCCAAGAAAAAAAAATGAACTTGGTACATCATTCCTAGATTTCCTAATTTGAGAATGATATCACCACAATTAGTAGCTTTCTAAACTTGGTATCACATTTTCAGGCAGGTTATTATGGAACATTTCTAGCAGCATCAGTAAACCTCCCCCTTAAAAGTAACTCTTTGACACAAGTATACATGGGAGTTGCTGCAAGAAAACTACTCTTACAGGTATGCTCTAAATCTTTACCCAAACTCTATGTACTGTTTTGAGTATCACTGGTCCCACTGATTTTTTTTCCCTCAAAAATTGCTTATTTTTCTCTGATTTTGATCTGTATGTATGTATGTATGTATGTGTATATATATGTAATATATATATATATATATATATATATATATATGTGCATGCAGCAGAGCGGAGGTGAGAACCATACTGTATATGGGCAATGGTTGGGATGGATGATGGCTGCTATTTACATGGGCGGTCGACTCCCCCAGATATGGTTAAACGTAAGCAGTCCTAATGGCTTTACTAGTATTTGTCACCTTCTGTAGAACTCTGTGTTTATATTTTGTCACATTTCTTTTCTCTTCTTTCCTTTTTCTACCTTTCATGTATGTTCTAACAAACTTCAGTTACTTCTTATGTTGGCCAGATCAAAAGAGGAAGCGTTGAGGTAATAATTAATTTGATGGCTTTAACACTTCTCTCTTGCCTTTTTATACTATATTACCAATATAAGAATACAATATAGCCTAAATATCGGCCATTAAACAATGAGAACAACAATACGAGCCATTAAAATCTTTTCGGCTTTTATCATGTGGCAGCTGATAGTTCTTTAAAAAAAAAAAAAAAAAACGTGTAGTTTTTCTTTTCATCAATCAATAGTTGATATTTGGGATATATATACATATACATGAAAAAAAAAAAAAAAAAAAAAAAAAAAAAAAAAAAAAAAAAAAAAATTTTTCTTTTAACCCAATTTTTTTTTTGAGAACAAAAGAAAATTGTACTTTATACCGATATTTCTTTTTTTCTACAATTGGAATAACTTTCATTATGTTACTTTCAGGGCTTGAATCCTCTCATGTTCATCTTTGCACTGATTGCAAATGTCACTTATGTGGGAAGGTTCTAATATTTCTCTCACTTCCAATAATCCCCTTTATTTGACTCTCAAATTTTGTTCTACCAGTTAGTAACTCTTAAGCTAAATTTTTATTTGTGTTAATGCAGTATTCTTGTAAGAAGCACCGAGTGGGAAAGAACAAAGGCTAATATGCCATGGTTGCTGGATGCTGTCGTTTGTGTGGCACTCGACTCATTTGTATCCTCTTTAACCATGATCCGATCTGTCCCATCTATCATTACAACTTATTTATTTATTTATTTTTATACAGTGCGGGGCTTTTAATGCCTCCTACTTTATATAAAAAATAAAATACTGAGATTTCAATTTTAGTGGACACACGCACACACCCAACCACTTAAATTAACCGCATGCAGCAAAAACTTTTTTATTCCATTACCATTAAAAATCCTCAAAATAACCAACTATAATTATAGTTAACCTTAACTTGTAAAAATTACAGATAATACTGCAATACATGTATTACAGATATTGGCGGAGGAACAGAAGCAGTAGTAGTGGAGAAATCTACGGGGACTACTACGAGGAAGCAAGTAAATCTGCGGAATCTTGATTGTAATATTTCATCGATCATTGCGTGACCATGACCTTTACGGTTCAAAAATGGCTCATCTCGCTGAGTATTGATTGTTCAATTTGAAGAAATCATTTGCTGCTTTTGGTAGTCTTAGATTGATTAGACTAATATATAATGTCTTTTCTTATTTATTTTTTTCCCATCTAATTGAGGTTGTCAAGTTGAGAATTTGAGATATTTGCGAAAAAAGCAGCTTTCAATCCTAACGTTGTTGGTTTTGCTTTTAGGCTGAGTGTGGCTATGTTCGTTTTACCGTGAAGAGTCGATTTCAAGGATTTGATGGAGTTATTAGTTGTCGGAAAGTGGAGCCAGTTTTGTCTGAACTACCACAGGGATTGATAGCCAAGTGATTAGATTGATGTCGTTTCCCCAAATCCCACTGTGATGATTTCATTTGAACCCTTTTACTACTGCTGAAAATAAAAAGGAAAAAAGGAAAAAAAAAAAAAAAAAAAAAAAAAAAAAAAAAAATTTTTGGGAGGATGATAAATGCTTAGATCATGTTCAATGCAAACGCTAATATAAGTTGCATATTTGATACTAAAATGTGATAATGGCATATTTAATATGTTATTTTTATTTGGATTTACTTTTATAATGGCATATTTAAACGGGGACACTTTTGTAATTCAATTAATTGGTCTATTTCTTAATATTTCTAAATAGTCCTATTAATTTTTATTATCCTCTTAACTTGACATGTTTCCCCCATTCTTCCAAATTCTAATATACATATACCAATAAATATTTAGAACAGACTAATAATGAAAGTACTTATGTTTTGTATAGAAAACAACTTCTTTAAAAATGCAAGCGATAGCAATGAATAAATTTAAAAATGGCCAACAATTACAACTAGTTGTAGAACGGCAGCATCATATCTCATGAATGATGATAATTCAAAATACGACAGCATTTTTAAGAAACGACTAGAAACCTGAAAACGACGTCAATCTCCTATACAATTGACAATAACTTGGGAACTTAGCAGAACTTTTCAGTTTTCACCCAATTTGTTTTCCAATTCCACCAATTTTAACAGAATAATTCTATGTGCATAAAGAGCCATATTTGCTCCACTTGCCCATCCACGAACCAAAACTCCAATTCAAACATACAACTAATTTGGAAAGCTTGATTAGCAAAAGAAAGGGAAAAAAAACTAATTTGAATTGTTAGATCTATTAATTTAGAGTCGGTTTACTAGCCGAAAGCCTAAGATCAAGTTTATCTGAAGAGCACTTATTAGTCACACCCTTTTATCTACTATGTCTATATCATCAAGAATTCCTTTTCCTTTTCTTTTTTAGAATTGGAATGATTACGTATTATGAAGAGTATTCATTTTCACTGTTTTTAGTTAATTGTCTTAAACAAAACCGTAGGCGCTTTTAACGTTAAATTGACACTCGATCCCATTCCCATCTACTTAATTATCTATATAAAAAATATATATATATAAACACAAGGGAAAAAGAGACAAATATTCCTCAAAATGTATGGATCTTGAGTTTTTACCTATTATACTTGATTAATACCCTTTAATCAAATAAGTATATTAGAGCATCTGTAAGGGAGCTCTCTAAATTTTAGCTAAACTCTAATTAAAATAACTACAAAGATATTTTAGTTAGTAACTTTTTAGTGAGTCACTCAAATAATATTCTCTATTTTAACTAAAAATATATTATTTTAATATTTTTTTGAGTTTAAAATATAAATAACCTTTTTTTCTAACTTTTACCATATGTCAAAACAAAAAATATAATAATAATAAGAATAAATAGCTAGCCACTTCTAAAGTGTTTTAGTTAAAATAGTTAACTATTTAATTAATGGTTGGAGTGGAGAAAAGTTAAAAAAAAAAAAAAAAGTTAAATCATTAACTATTTTAGTTAAAAATATGAAATGGTTCAAAGTTGATCTTAGTGAAAAGGGTAAAGGGTAAAGGGTAAAGAAAGGGAGAAAGAGGAAAATAGGCCAAGACTTGAGATGAATTAAAATTAATAGGTCAATAGTTTACATAAGTTAATAAATATGCTAAATTACTATTTTTGTCTATAACTTGTCTAGTTATGAACCATAACTTGACAAGTTATTGTCCATAATTCACGGTTTTTGTCCATAACTTGTCTGGCTATGAATCATAACTTGACAAGTTTGTCCATAATTTATCTGATTATGAATTATAACTTGACAAGTTATGACCTATTAATTTTTATAACTAAAAATTGGCTTATATACTTTCTTAAGCTTTTCATAACCTATTTTCTACTATTTCCGATAATTATTTTCTCTCAACGGGCCTCAATTATCACCAAGCCTCCGCTTGGGGTTGTCCATCCAAACTGCCTGATCCGGCGCCACCCGACCCATGCTGGCCTAAAGGAGGAAACATGGACGGCCCACATAAAAGAGCGGGCTGTGCGGGAAGAAAAGAGGAGGCCCAAAATTGGCACCTCTTCCTCTTTTATCTTCTTCACTCTAATTAATGAACTCTAAAATCTGAATTTAGTAAAATTTTATGCATTGTTGAATCATTTCCTCAATCTGCATACATCTAAAGCAACAAGATCAATCTCATGTACTCATTATAACTATAACAAACAAATGCTTCAAATATAATAGTATACAAATAATTAACATTTATAAGCCGACAAAATCTTAAGGAAGTATGAGAGGAATCATACTAACATTATTATTTCTTCAGTAATTATTATAAATAGAGTGAAACTGAAAGATCAACACAGGTCCAATATATAAAGAAAAATCATAAGATGTTAATCATATTAGTTAGCATATAATATTATTTATTTAATCATGATGAACAACATCTTTGATATGTATATGTATATATTTTATGTTTGGTGCTGACAGCAGTTGCTAAGAAATTTAATTTAGTAATTCATTTTGTTTATCTATGAGCGCACTCATTTAAGTAAATAAAATCATTGATAATAAATAACATATGATCACAAAGAAACCCTTGCGTAATTGCGTTATCATCCATCATTGTGAGTTGTCATGACTCAATGATTGTCTGATAATTAGTGTGCTTCAAGTTGATTTCAAACATGAAAATTAGAGCAAACATATATATTGCAAAGTATGAGATATACAAAAAAGTGCTACTAATAACTAATTTAATCAACAACAGACACCAAAACCAAGCAAATTAATCATCTTGATATTAACTTGCATTCTCCAAAGAAAACAAGTGTTATGTCCCCCTGCAGTGCCAGTACGACTCTCCCGTCTTCCTCACTTTCAATCTGTTGCAAATTTTTAAACCTTTTTTTTTTTTTTTTTTGTCTAGTTTTGAAATCAACCAACAAATCTTACCCCACGTTTAGATTTGTTGCTTCTTATATAAGAAAGCTTTATGATAAGTTGACCAAAACGAATGTACATGTCAAGGTTTAATTAATGGATACTTTTTTTTTTTTTTTCCCAAATCAAATCAAAGCATATATTTAAACCCAACAAAGTTGACCTTATAGGTCTCTCATGGCTGATTAATATTTTGCAAGTACTCATCAATCACCAAACACGCCAGAGAAATCGCAGTAAGAGTGACTGGATTGTCGGCGTACTTAATTCCATTTCCATGAGAGAGGGCCATTGATTTCTCCGAGAAGTAAAATAGATCTGCATTTAATTTCGTTGTTTCTTCAGAGGTTTAATTATGTTTCCAAGGCATTAGAAGCCTATAATTATAATCTAGCTCCAAAACTTGCTAGATTCGTATTTTTTGGGAGTGCGGGGAAAGGAAATCTCGGACTTGTTCATTTACATTTAAATTCAAAAAAAATTTAAACTCTTACAATTTTATTTAGTTCATATTCATTTATAAAATTTGAGTTTAAACTTGAATTTTAACTTAATTTGAGATTAAAATCTGAGGTCAACTTTCTCCTTCAACTCAAATTTCTAAACTCAAATTCAAGTTAATGAACAGTATTTTTTCTATTTTTAAAAACGTTATAACTTTTTCGTTTTAATTCCGATTGATATGATGTTTTATATGCGTTCACAACGAATAGATAAATAAAACTCTACTCATATATCCTACTAAAATTTTTCATCATGATTGAATTTTTATTAAAATACTATCTAAATACAAACTCAAGTTTTGACCCACTTAAACACAAACTCAAAAAAAATTTCATCTCAAACCATAACTCAAATGTATACAACCAAACACAAACTCAAGTTACAACTTCAAGTCGAATTATAACTCAAAATCAACTCAAAATCTACACTCAAATCATCATAACTCAAAAATACAACTGAACAAACCCATAGTCTTTAGTAGATTAGGAGATTGCAAGCAATATTGGGCAACTGGGCTCCTTTTTAACAGTTTATATATAGAGATAAAGGTTTGTGAAGTCGCAACAAATTAATAGTGTCCAATTTTTTGTATTTAAATTAGTGTCTAACTAATTAAATTATATCACATTATCCTATTATAAGTACAAAAGAGTAAGTTAAAAAGCAATCTGAATTTTTTACATGACAACAGATTAATTAGACACCAAATAAGACACTAAAATTGGACAACATATTTGAGATCTATAATCCCAGAAGTCTAATGGCATTCCCAAGTGAACTTCCTAAATTGTAGCTAAATTTTAGTTAAAATAGCTAGCTACTTTTAGGTGAATTACTGTAATCATATTCTATATTTTAGTATTTATTAAACGTAAAATATAAATAACTTTATTGCAGTTAAAAAAAAAACCTTGAATTTATTATTGTTTGAAAGAATAAAATAATATAAAAAATAAAATGGTTAGTCTCTTCTTATTAGTTAGGCTAGTGTGAAATGCAATTTTTAAAATAATTAACCATTTGGCTAATGGTTAGAGACTTGGAGTGAAAAAAAGCCAAAAAAAAAAAAAAAAAAGAGATGATTAGTTATTTTGATTAAAAACATGAAATTACTAATATAGTTGGATATACTCTAATATCCTACTGATTATGATTTGTCACAGCATTTGTTTAAGATAATTTGATCTGATGACGTGGGAAGACGAGTTGGGGTTATCGGTTCGATCCCACTTGTAATCTTTATTTATATTTTATAGCCAACTTTAAATAATGTGATAAATGTTAATTAGTGGGACGATAGAAACATACTTTTGAGATAACAAATTTATATTTAGTAGTCCTAAAGAGAAAGCTTGTGTTTATTTTATAATTTTTTATACAATGTTTTTCCCAAAAAAATTAAAAACTAAAAAATTTAAATTTATGTCTAAATCTATTAACCAAATGGCCATAAAGCCACCAAATTCATAGCTAAATATGAAAAACTACAGAGGAGGAAAAAAGTAAGAAAACATATCTGTAGTTCTTAATTAATCAAGAACTTATCAAATAAGACAAGAAAGTTCTAAACAAAGGATGTTGACTACAAGCTCTAGTATCTATCCTATTTCTTCTTTCTTACCACACAAAATAATAGTAACCTTTGGCATTTTCTATATATATGAAGAACTACGTCTCCCCTAAATCATGGAAGAGGTGCCACCGACAAACTTCTGTTATCAATTAATTTCATTAATCTTTT